TAACATGGTTGACCAATAGGGAACCATCTCTTGACCGCACCCGGGCATCGACCAGCCTCCCATTGTATCTGTACCAGATGAAAATTCCTCCTATACAGCAATCGAAGGCTTCACGAAATACGTGGTCGAAATAGATGTTAAATAATGTGTCGCACCCCAAAGTGAACAGGAAATAGATCCGACTCCCAGCCAACGTAGTTTTACCCGGGCCTGCCCACCGTCATGAAGGTCCTTAATGATTGGGAGCAGAGAGCCAGGGACTCCGAAAGCACGAAGAACAACCCAGAGCCCAGGCCTACTGATCGAATCATAGGCCTTGACCAGGTAAATAAAGCACACGCAAACTCACTCTTAACGGGTTGCTGTGACCATTACATCTCCCGGAGGATCGCTCCACTGAACAAAATAGTCCCACGGTTCAGTTCGCAAGTGTGAGTTCGCAAGTCGATGAAAGCTGGTTCGTGTGAATGTTCGTAAATCAGGTGTTCGTAAGTTGAGGACTGTATGTACTATGTAAATAACAATAACATTACGTTAATTCACTCCATCTCTTTTGTCAGTTTTAAATTTCAATATACAGTATCAAATATATAATTTTCAATACAAATTGTCTTTTTTTTAAATATGAATGGTAAGTTATGAAGTGTTTATAGGATTTAATGGTAAGTTACGGAGGCTGGGAACGCATCCTCACAGTACCAGTATTATAAGTTATTCAATAAACGAAGTTTCAAAATAAAAATTAAGATCCAGGAACACATCTACTTCGTATATCTAGGTATTATTATATACTGTGTATATATATATATATATTCTCATTTGTGTTTCCGTATTTCTGTGGATGTCTGGGGGAAGATTTTGAAGCTGCTCGTGGCCCTGTTCCTTCAGTGTGTTTGCGTGTGTGTGCGGGCATGTACGTGGTTGTGTATGTGTAGTGAGTCCAACTGAGTCGCAGACGTTATCTTGGGAGCAACACTATTGATTCCGCATTAACACGCAACATAACACGATCTACACTCGGGTCTTGAATGCCCATCTAACCACATTACGGCAGAACTAGACACGGTTCGCTATCCCGGTCCGCACCACAAACGGTCCCGGACCGCGTGGCTAGAGGCTTCTTCTCCCCGACGTGGATCTTCATAACACCAGCACACGAAGAACCCCGAGCTCCTCATGGGGCCCCCATTATATGCCCCCGGGCTGGGGCTGGCTCCGCCCTTCACCCCGCCCACCTTCCAGGCCTCTCGAGCCCCTTCTCGAAGGTTCCCGAGAGCTCCTTTGGACCACGTGACCGCCCCACGGCCCCCGTCCACCGGTGGCCCCCCTCCAATATTGTCCAGTCACGTGACAGCAGGTCAACCAGTGTATCCTGCCCCAAGGTAACCCTGGCTGGCTAACGCTCCCTCACCGGGAGCCCGCACCGCACGCTGCTCACGGTGGCTCCGCGCGAACCAGTGCTCACCAAAACCCCGCTAGGGTTGGTACTGCATCCCGTAACCCGGGCTGCCCGTAATGACAACACATTACCGGCAGTGGCTTCGCAAGCCCCGGCACCATAATAACAAGCAGTCACGACATGTGTACGGCTGTCATGTGTGTGGGGCAGTGGTGCAGCAATTAGTGTGCTGCGCTAAGAACCCGGGGACCAGAGTTAGATTCCTGCTCACGGCCAATATTGGTAACGAATATCTGAAGCAGTCCTGGGCCTCCCCTAGGTCGACTCAGCCTAAAATGAGTACCTGGTGCAGTGTGTAAATATCGCCACTGGAGAGATAGAATATTGGCCGGGCGTGGTGCTGACCACCCACCCCCTCCTGTATCGTGCCAGCCTGCATAGGCGTTCGCTAACAACACTTGCCCCAAAAGTCGGTTAAGGCTGTATGGGGATTATTTATATTTGTGTGTTGTGTACGTACATGTGTCTTTTTCTATGCGAGTTAGACGTGTCTGTCAATCTGTCACCTGTGTCATTGTTGTTTGTGTCTGCCGTGTGTGTCTGTGTATAAGTGGTTCTGCTATAGTATGTATGTGTACATGTGTAGAGGAATGAAATACGCGGTGCGCAGTTAACTGAGGGCAACTGAGGGCAAACAGTTGCGCGTGTCCAACATGAGGTTTGCACGGACAAACCGCCAGTTGTTAAGGAGAGAAGCAGGTGCAAACGGGGTCGATCGGTTGTGCACGTTGAGACCGGAGGTGTTACCAGGGAGACGGGAGATAAGGGTTGATTGATGCGCCAACAGGCGCCAGCCGGCGAGAGCTGAAAGAGACGCACGAGAGCTCTCGGATAATTAGTAGAGGGATATCAGGGTGTGTGCGTGAGCGGAGGGGGAGTTGTTTCCGGGGACAAACATCTCTCCGCTGCCGCTCTAGCCATCGCCGGGCGGTGTTGGCTGATCCCCCCGCCCAGGACAGACGGGTGAGTGGGTCTGAGGGAGCATAGGTGAGGGCAGCGGTGGAAATGTAGAGTCGCTGCGTGCGAGGATGCTGTGTGCGGAGTCGCTGAGAGCAGAGCTGCTGAGTGCCGGATAAGTGAGGTGAATGGTAGATAAGTGGGGAGAAGTTAAACATAAGTGACCGTATAGATAGTTATAGGAGTGCCTACAACTGGTGCAAGAATAGGTGAATAAAGCATAAGCAGGTGACTTGTTACAACGTGTCGGTGTGAGTAATTTTTGAAGACACTACACATGTATGTGTGTGTCTCTCAGCTAACATTGATTGGAAATAACTGAATGCAAATGCACAAGGCAAATCTTGTCGCGTTTAATGTCCAAAAAAGGTGAACGTTAATCAAAAAATACAAAACACGGTAACATTTCTAGACTACACAGGCCGTGAATCTGACTGAAGCGCGAAGTCTCGTTATTTACACGTCTGGGGTGTGTAGGACACGCGAACAGTGAAACGTGAATAAAGAGTGAAAAGTCCATGTTCAATCTGTTAAGGTGTGTAGCACAAGAGCCAATAAGTGCATAGCCCAAACTCGACCTGCACTGTATCCAGATAAATCACACTAGCCCTAACCCTGACCACACTAGCCAATAAAATGTTAGTCTGACTCTCTGTTTTCGCAGTTATGCTGTGTAGCCCTTCGATGTGTGCTTGGGTTGTACCGCGTGTTCTTCAGCACAATGTCCGACGAGTCGCTCCACATGCTTCTATAGCAATCTCTCAGCACGTGGAGCGAAACGTCGGACATCGCGCCGAACAACACGCGGTACAACCCGGAAACACATTGGAGATTCTAATCTCACCATAACCACACGAGCCAATCACAGCCAACCCTACCCCGAACCTTAACCGCACTAGTAAATCAGATCCCAATCATGCCCCGACTACGACAACCAATCAGGTGCCAACACAAACTCCTATACCTAAGACCAACGCTGGGACTTATCTTTTCATTTTTGATACACATTTCACTTCTCGTGTCTACACCACCACTCTGGCTCCATCCCAAAAATCATCCCACACTCCCACCGCAATCTCAAAACCAGCAAAGCAAGGCTTCGATTTTCAAATGAGATTGCGCATGCTGCACGTATATGTACTCGAGAAGGGCATGGAAGTGGCAGATTCTGTGAATTCTGAAATAAAGATGGCTAATCGCATGGATGTCAAAGGGTCTTTAACGTCCATTTTAAAGCACACGGACTTGTGGCACTTCGGTAATGCTCCGTAAATTAACTAGGTGGCGGTAGCATGAATCAAACTCTCAACTCCGTGCAAACTAGCTTAACAGCGAACTTCATAACCACGAGGCCATCCAACCTCTCGACCACTTCCATGACCGTGCGTTCATACATATACATAGGGCACACAACTCAATAATCAAGGCATTGTTACTTATGGAAGAACCCACTAAGGTGCATTTAAGACACATTGCTGCAGTGAGAAGGGTCCGAGTCCCACTTGGGAGAAACAATGCTGTCCGTTTAGTGGTTTATAAGTACAGCAATGGTTATATTTATACAGGAAAGCCTTAGTCTCTCGACTCTTTTTGAGGGCCATGCATCGGAAAGTTTGTCCAAATACATTTTCACGTGTGTTTTGCAAATGAGACAAAACCAGAGTACCTGGAGAAAATCCATGCACACAAGAGTATAAGGTCACATTGCTAATCGACTTGCTGTACTGGCATCTCCTTGCCATATCACAGCTGATAGTGGATTGGTAGTCACACAGCACGTGGTATTGGCGTGATTCTCCAACCCTGCCGTCAAGAGTTCTGATTCCAGGTGTGTGCTAGTATTTCACAGATCAGTCTTGGGTAAAAGTAGTTTGGTTATTTTTAAATCACCAACAACTCTTGAGAACTCGGGTTTGAAGCTAGACTTCACCCATGTATGAACTGCGTTCGCAAGTGTAGTGAGGTGATGGTTTCAGCTTGATCTCCAATGATTGCATGGTCAGAAACATCAATGCAGGTAAATAGAGTTGTTTCAGTTAACTCGACCTGTAGGTAGGTTGGATGGTTAAAATGCAAGGAACAAACCATTCTCTACAGAGCGCGAAGGATGAGAGAGGGCTACCAAAGGGACGCCTGTTGAAGCAGTTCTGTGGTGTCTTCTAGGGGTCATTACCTGATAGGGTTGCCAACTCTGAGGAACCAAGAAAACTGAGATATATCATGGGAAGAAGTATATCTCAACTGTACCAATGGAGAGAATGATATGTAAATGCAACTTTCAATTACCATACTCTATGGTTCTTTCGGTAAAGTCACGTAGGTAGAAAAATAAAATAAAAAATAATATATCACGACGTTTCGACCGCAACACAAGCGGTTGTCCTCAGGCGGAAAAAAATGATCCGGCAGTGGAACTGCTGAAACAGCGATAGAGCTGTTACAACAATAGGTTATTTATGATTAATAAATAACCTCTTATTTATGATAAAACAAATAACCTCTTGTTATAACAGCTCTATCGCTGGTTCAGCAGTTCCAGTGCTGGATATTTTTTTCTGCCTGAGGACAACCGCTTGTGTTGCGATCGAAACGTCATGATATATTATTTTGTTTTCTTTTCTTTTTCTGCCTACGTGACTTTACCGAAAGAACCAAAGAGTATGGATTCCTGCAGTCACGAAAGCTTCAAATCAAGATTTCAATGACCAGGCAAGACTTTCAGATTTCCCAGGACAGCAGCTACCTAAGCAAAAAAGAACAATCCTGGGAAAACGAAAACAGGTGGCAACCCTTGACGAGGATCTGAAGGAGATCCACAATGGACGTTTCCTCACCTTGTGCCCTATTACAGTTAAACATATACGACCAGGGGCTTTATTTGGGTCGCTGGGTCAGCGGACATGGAATATATATCCAGAGAAAGCACACCACATCCTGTATAACTCTTGCTATGACTGTGGCTCAGTGTGAAATTAAATCCCGGGACACTCCTGATGCCGAAATATTGACGGACAGCAATGTTTCCCTGAAGTGTTCAGACTGAAACCTATCTCACCACTTTCTGTTCATTTACAAAATAGTGCACTTATTAAAGGCGCAAAACAATAAAACCAAAGTTTACAAATAGTTTTAAAGATTCCCTTTCTTTAACCAACAACACAACCACCCCTCGCGTTTTAAGACCTCGTTGCAGCACACCGCACAGTTTCTGTTTTGAATGCCTGACGTCACAAGGAGCTTGCGTGTTGCCGAGCCTCGGAGGTTATAGTCAGAGGAGTCCGTTGAACTTTAATTGGACGCTGTGAGAGTTGAACGAGGGAAGGGAGGGGATTCATGAGATGGACGTTTAAATGAGGAACACATCTAAGGGGAGCAGTATGAAGCAAACAAGGGACATACAAGCTTACAAATTGGTTTAAACTGTACACCCCTGGGTGTATAGACGTGGTTTATAAGCCATTATCGCATTGACAACTGCGCACAAAACAATACTTCATTTACCAGGGCCGAGGCGGAGCAAAGGCGTGGACCTTGAAACTAAAACCAAAGGGCCAAGTGTCCGTCTTGGCAACACGAGGCGAAATACATTGTGAAGGTGATCGGCATAATTTTGCTAAAACTGAGTGTTTGTCAGCGGCAAGCATAGTCCCCGCTCAAACGAACGTGGGGCGGTGCGCGAAAAAATTTGGCGGTTTGGAGCCAGTGCTGGAAGTTCCACTCTTTACACCTGGGGCTCGTCAATGCATAGGAAGGTCACTGTAGCTTGCTGTACAATAGTACTTATTTTATTTACACTAGTGGAATGATGATGGGTTGAGTTAAACCCAAAACACTTGTGAATATTGTGATTTTCTACAGCAATTTCCAGCCAATTAAATGGAGAATTGTATTTAATAAAGAGAAAAACATCTAGTATTTTGCAAGTTGCAAGGATACTACCAAATGTATTTGTGATAGATTTCATTAAATGCATTTTGTGAGTCACTCCATTGAAGTTTAATTCGTGTTTGGGGAAATCTGGTCGGTCTTTGCCACTGAGGCTGGTTTACTTGCGTAAAAGAAAAGGTTAGTCGCCTATAGAAAATTTCAGCGATAATGATCTTTCACAAGGGCAAAGCCCATACACAGCTAGGCCACTTGATGTGGCTGTAAAATCTATGCGGCTTCACAAGATACCAAACTTGACTCGTACCCCTTTTCCACTGGCATATGCGAGCTGTGCCGGCACGGGACCATCATGTTATGGGGTGGTTTTCCACTGGCTACAGTGGAAAAAGAAGTGGTATTTAGCTCAATTAGTTGTGAAATTCAAATGATGGATTCTGAAAAGGTGGGCAGCAAAAGCTGCTCACGGTGACGTCAGTGCTTTAGAGAAATCAGCCACTGTGCAGCGTGGGGCAATGGGAGAGGTTTTTGAAAAAGTCACGCGTGTTGTTTAATTTCACGATTAGTTTTTTTATCTCTTTTTAAATAAATTATAACTTTACGTCACAGGCAAAACTAACGAAACACAATATCTCAACGATAATTATAATAATGATAAAGACATAGTTTGTAGCAACAAAAAAGCCAAGTTGCTGTTTTATTGTGTACAGCAGGCCCGGCTACGCTTGGCCATGCTTGGAATGTACGTTTTGTACGTGCGTGAAGGTGTATTATAAAATAACATACAACATATGGAGCCCCCCACCCCCATTTTTTTAAGCGGGTGGAAAAATGTTCACAGAAAATCTGGTTGTAATCCAATACAGACATACAAGGGCAAGATGAAACAAAATTAACTCGAACCGCAACTCATCTCTCCAACACCGTTTCCAGATTGAGGGGGTGGGTGGGGGGTTAAGCTCTCAATAAACTGATAAATGCCTCACCCATGATAATTGTTTTACTCGATGAAAGCTCCAAGTGAGTTTCAACATTCCTATCAGAAGCATCCTGCCAGGTGTCAGGTAGTGTTTGGATACATCTCATTTGTATTGGAGTAATATTATTTCGAGTGACAACCGGACTGCCGGCAGAAAACTCATGCAGGCCAGAGGAGATCACTCATAAGAAGGGACATATCGCAATTAAGGCACTACTGCGACCAATTTTTCAAGCTAACATATTAAACATTTAAAGACAAAATCCAACAAAACTAAAGTTTGCTTAATAAACGTCCTCTGGAGGAATTGTGGTGTGGCAGTTCGTGCTCCTGCGCTCTGCAGGAACCGAGTTCAATTGCTGGACATGACTAACATTAGTTCAGCTGGAAGAGATTCAAATCCTCCTGCCCTCCTCCACTATTTACGGGACGGCTCAGCCCAGAGAGCTCATGTGAAGCAAGCAAGGGCATCTCGGTATAGAATTTCTACCCGATTAGCCGATGCAACAACAAAATCTTGCTAAAAATAATACATTACACAAAACAAAATATATATTGAAGTGATGAAGTAAAAGAACTACTAAACCGGCTGCTCATATAAATACGTGCGCGCTTTGCCAAGTAAAAATTTGCAGCCATTTTCTTTCGGGCAGTGCCCCAGAGGACCAGCTCAAACCCATGTGACTTCATTCCAGCCAATCACAGCCCGGTTACGAGTACACAGTACAAGTGTAATCCCCGATCTGGCAACGTTGGGGAGGAGGTGATCGGTTTGGGAGTTGGGGGGTGGGTGGTGGTGGTTGGCGTTTGCACCCTTTTGCCCACAGGGCATGAATCCCAGAAGCCAGGAGACTCAGTGGTCATGAGGTGCAGTGTGGTCCCCGTGGCATTGCTTACAGTGGCGTTAACGGGAAAACAAACAAGAACAGCAACAATATACAAACGGCATTTTTCCAGTGTAAACTCTAGATCCCAACTCGTGCCTTTTAAGACACAGATATAGTGCCATAGACAATCAAAACCCCAATTAACGTGAGCGATAGCCTCACACACACACTCGCACACACCATGAGAAACAGCCTCACGCGCAAATGTACACACACCACACGGAGTGCAATGGACCGACGAGTTGCTGGTGGGAGACTTGGGATGAGTTTAGTGGTGGACGACTTAGACTTAGGTGAAAAATGAAACCATCTGCGAGGACTTCAAGCCAATCATACGAAGGCTCATGTGCAGTCAAGTCAATCAACCCTCTCTGAGCAGTTTCCCTTTTGAGTCTTAAGAATCATCTCGTTTGAGTTTCTTTGTGAGGATCTTCCACATGGCTCTTCTGTGTAAGTCTTCAGAAGATGGCACCGTGATTAAGCACCTTCACGACGCTGATGTGAGCACCTCTGTATGTCTCTCCCACGGAGCTCATCCATAAGCTTTCTTCATGGACAGCTTCGCCCGCGAGATCCTTCTTCGCGAGACTTGCATGTATGTATTCTTTAGGAATATTTCTTTCGAGGCTCTTCTACATGAATCTTGTTAATGGGGCATTCAACTTAAGCTTTTCAGCCAGTGCCTTTACATGTCTCCCTCAAGCCTCTCTTAAGCCGTCTCTGCACCATCGTCTCATTAAGACTCTTCAGTATAACTACGAGGCTCCTGGATACATTTTCTGTATACGTCGTTCCTCGATGACACTCATTTATAAGTGAGACGCTTCCCCACCGCCCCCCACACCCCCCCCCCTCCATGTTTCTACATGAGGCATTCGTCTACGAGTCTTTCCCACGAGACCTTCAATTAAAGCCTGAGAGGCTCTCTTACAAATTCTACTTTATAGAGGTCCTCTCTACGAGGCTGCTCTGTGCAATTCTTCTGAGATTCTGGATTAGAATCCCAATCAGTGCGCTCGACGGTAAACCGGGTTCCTCGGGTTTAGAGAGTCCATCGGCTCAGCCCATTGAAAAAAAAAAACGCAACACCAATAACAAAACCTTCGTCTACATATCGATGTTAGGATTCCATTCAGCTTGGCGCAACCTGCATGGTGTTCACTTGTAGATGGCGCTAAACAAAATGACTGTCTAGTCTGCACAGTTAAGCGCCAGTGAGAGAAAGACCCCTGCAGGATTCACAATGCCGTAATTATATGGCGCTGCTGCTCATGGGTATATGCGTAATGGACGTAATAATCTAAGTCATCAGCATCATCATCTAGGTACAGCTCTGCAGTAAAACGTACCAACATTGGGCCAACGCTTAATATTTACCGGGTCTGTGCTTACATGACGTCCATTCCGCATCCTCCTCATCATCGTCGTCTAGGCACAGACTCAGTAAACATGCCAATGCTGGCCCAACGTTGGCATGTTTACTGGGCGAGGTTGTACCTCCACAACCACGATGCTGATCGCGGTGGTGAGCGCGGTATCGGTGCAATTGAAAGAAAATAAAGACAAAAATGAAATCAACACTTGAGACAATCTGCACATCTTGTGGCACATAGAGGCGAGTAACTGTCACCCAGCCACGCACACATGCAGTCGGTTGGGGGGGGGGATGCAACGGAACCACTCGTTCAACCCGCACGCTTGCCCACCGCCCAAATATACAACAAACAAAAAGCGATCGCATTTTTTGCATCGGCAGTCAAGTGCTTGTCTTCCAAGTCAAATCTCCCGCTGCCATTTCTTAGTGCAATTTCAAAAGGTCAGGGTCCATCTATCGTGGGTTTATCAATCCCATCCGCAGAGGGGGAAGAGGAGGGGGGAGGAGTGTATGCTCGATTTGGTAACGGGTGAGCGAGGTGGCAATGTTGTAGCTTCTCTCTATTGGACATTGCTAAAAAGTTAAACCGTTGTTGAGCAGAGAGCATTCATTATTCATTCACTTATCGTCATAAGCTGTTCTCTTTTCTTCAGTGAAGACAACCAAAAAAAACGGCGGATGTTTTTTTGTGGAAACACGCACACACACTTATGGTTGTGGACCATGATTCTGAGGCTTCATTAAGCGGGGAAGACTGAAGTGACCACCGCATATCCATACCGCCCGCTACGTTTTGGTGAACAGCTTCTTTTCAAGGAACTGAATTTCAGGAGCTCCCAGCTCTTTGAGCAAAGTGGGACCTCATTATCGAATGACACACGGCAAGGCCCGAGAACACATTGGAGAGCGGTGCACACATTTTCGCAACGGCAGTGCACCATCCTCCAGTAATGCCGCAGCCAAGTTGAAAAACCACGATAGCAGCGGCACTCTGTCCTTAAAGCTGGGAGTAAGGACTTGAGACGCATAAGGAAGAGTTTTACAATGGTAGGGGGTTAATTGTCATATTGCTGCGGATCAGTGTTCCTTTGGTTTTGCAATGCGACATCGTCGCCTGGTTGTTTCTGTGGGTGGAGTCTTCACGGTATATCGCTGCTGAAGCTTCGTCGACTGGCTTCACATTCCGTACCGATGCACATTAACGCTATTCGGTAAATGCGAAAGCATCGCTATTATGGCTTTAATGCTGAGGGCGAGTCTTTGCGGTGAGCACAACCTGCGGAAGCGGTGGACACTCGAGACAGGTGGAGACTTCAAACATATTCTAACACTTTCTGTAAATGATGACAAACTCGGGAGACGGAGGTCGTACAGCCTGGAAACAAGTAAAGAGCATTACCGTATTATCTGAATTAGACGCACTTACCCGCCCCACCTCCACCACCGAGCTGTATTTTTTAAGTAAACATTGGAAGTGCATCTTATAATCTGGTAGGCTTGCATGCCTGCGCATGACCAGATTCTTTATAGCTTTATTGACACCGAGGACACCTTGACACCAAGGTGCATCTTATAATCCAGAGTATGCGGTGTTACACACATTTGATTTCGAAACAGCGATCATGCCCTTTTGCTGTCTCAACATCCCCTATTGCATGTTTATTACTCTTTAGGTAGAATTCAAGCAAACCATCAACCACCGATCTTTATATAACCAAGCGAGAACCCAGCAGGTTTCCCCACCTCCCGTTTTGCCCATCACCATCCATCCCTCCACGGGCAGATAAAACCAGCACCACTTCATTGGGAAGTCAAGAGTGACTGCTTAATGGAGAAACTGGTTCCCGTCACAGGAATGTGGAGTTTACACCACTAGCTCACAGCACTGCTCACCCCGATGAGCACCGCTGGAACGAGCATGGAGACAGATTGACTTCTTTCTCAAATTATCAAATTTGAGAGTCCGACTATAACGGTGGCACATACTGACCAACTTAATGAGCTCTCACATCCATTTCCGTTGAATCAGAAAAGCCCCACCGAGTCTCAGGACTCGTGGTGAGGAGGATGTCACTTTGAGGTATTGGCCAAATTCCTCTCCACGTGCGTTCGAGCAAAAGGGAGAAACCAGAGTGCCCAGGGGAAAAACCCACAAAACGAGAGAATGCTCAAACATTGCCGGGCAGACTTCCCGTCGACAAAAGAAACCCACCTGACATCCCTGCAAGCACCACCTTGTTTACCCTGCAGGTGGGCGACTTATACAAATCATAGCACCACCTCTGCCCGATCCACCAAACCCATCTCCAAGTGTTTATCGCCACATTGACCCGGATTGTTTAAGTCTCAGTGCCTGAATGAGCACCAGATAGCGTTCACCTCCCACTGCTGGCTGTAACTGCTGGGCCAGTAGTCATTTTATCGACCCCAGAGCGATGATGGGGCCGAGACGACTCCCAAAGGAGAATTTGAACTTGTGACCATTCACTCGGGAACTCTGGCACAGCGGCACCTGGTCTAACCTGATATTACTACCGCTGGTTAATTGTATTAATATTCTCAGTGGTTTATTTTCATCTGATCACGTGCCACTGTGTCACACAGCACCCAGAGTTTGACTTGACTCAGAATCATCATCATCATCATTCATCCCTGGGGAACTGAGCCCTATTTCGTGTGAAGAGAACAGCACTCGCTGAGTGCAGAAATTGACCCCCCATAAAAAAGAAAAAGGGTGAAATTCCCACCAACGGCTCCAACTGTGATGAATGCTGCCCCCACCCCCCCATCCCCACCAACTTTATTAAACCAAGGAGATGCTTCGACATGTTTCAGTCTCTCCCGCACTTCAAATGGCCGCTGCCCACACATGGTGGAGCCCAGTCTCTCTCTCGCCATCGTCAGCACCGTCGCCGTCGCCATCGTCCAGGTCCACGTCGAGGTCCCCGTTGGCCCCGTCGGGCGTGCGCGCTGCCCGCAGGCCGTGCCACTTCTTAACGTGCTTCTCCAGCGTGGCGTACACGCCAAATGGCATCTGGCAGACGTGGCAGCGGTGCACGTCGCGACCCACCTGCCCGTGCGTCTTCATGTGCCGCGTCAGCTTGCTCGACTGTGCGCACGCATAGCCGCACAGCTGGCAGCGGTAGGGTCGCTCGCCCGTGTGGCTGCGCCGGTGCACAGTCAGGTTGCTCCCGTTGCGGAAGCGTTTGCCGCAGAACTCGCACGCGTTGGTGCCCGTGCCGGCGTCCTCCACGCCGCCCGCTCTTCTCGCCGCGCCATTTTTCTGGACGCAGCCCCCGCCATCGTTGTCTTCATCGTCGTCTTCGTCGCCGTCTTCCGCGTCGTCGTTGTTCAAGCCTCGCTCGCCGCGGTGATGCAGGGGATGGAGGAGGAAGCCCGGGCTCGCCGCGCTCTGGCTCCCGGACTCTCCCGCAAGCCGGCTGCCGCTGCCGGCCGTGTCCGAGGAGCTGGGCTCCGACGAGGGCGTGCGAGGAGGGGACGTGGAGCCGCCCCACGCCGCCACCGCCGCCACCGCGGACGCGTTCTCCCGAGAGCTTCCCGATGACGTGCTGCCCATCGCCCTGTTGCCACTAAATGGAACCCGGCCACCCATCGCGCTCATTCCCCCGAATGGAACTCCGCCACCGATCCCTCCGCCGGAGTCAAACGACTCCCCGCTGCTCAGCTGCTGCACGGCGACGTAGCTCGCGAGCCACTGCGAGTAGATGTTGCCGTCCACGCGATGGGAGTCGACGAGCGGCGACTCGTCGGGCTCCCGCTTCACGCTATTGGCAGTCGGGCAGGTGGAGGACAAGTCGAGAGGGAGGCTGGCGTGCTGCTCGTCCCCTCCATCGGTGGCCCCCGCGTGGGAGTGGTCACGGGCCGTCTCACGGAGAGCGGTCGTCGTCGTGTCTCCCCGGGGCCTCCCGGCAGGTGGCCCAATTTCCCTGCTCCTGCCGGGGGCCGAGAGGCAGTACGACGCCATCTGCCTGTTCAGCTTGAGCAGCACCTCGTTGAGCGCGGCCTGCGGGCCGCCGTCGTCCCCTTCCTCGCCGCTCGCCCGCGCGCCTCGCCCGGCCGCTCGACCTGCGCCGCCTCGCCCGCCGCCGAGGGCCAACGGCGGCTCTTCCGGCACGGACATGTCACTGCGGTACAGCGCCGCCACGGAGCGCAGGGCGCTGCTCGCGCTGGATAGAGCAACTCCGGGGCTTCGGGCACCGAGACCGCCGCCGCACCGCGGGTCGGGGGAGGAGGCCGTCCCCCTGCTGCCGTCCGCACGCTCCCTCTCCTCCAGCGCCGTGGCCCAGGCCGAGCGGCGCGAGCTCTGGGACGTTGAGACGGGCACGGGGTTCCCCGTGGGCTCGGGTGTCCCGCAAGAGCGCAAGGTCGACGTCGACGACGCCGACTCGCGGCTGGTGGCCACGACGAATGGAGAGGATGGAGGCGGTGGGAAGACGCCGGCGCCGGGTTTTGCCGGAGGCGCCGTGCTGGAGAGGTGCGGGGCGGCACGTCCGGCACCGAGCGGTCGCTCCGTCGGCGCCATCGGCGGCGTCGCCGTCGTCGTTGCAAAGGGAGCATTGTTGCCGGCGAGCTCGCGCAGCCGCCGTGAGAAATCCAAGCTGCACAGGAAGTCCGCCGCGGTCGCCTTCTCGTCCCACAAGGCGGCCGCCGTCATCGCCGCCAGCTCTGGTGGGGACGTGCGGCCAGCGGAGAACGGGTGAGGAGGAGGAGGAGGGGGAGATGGCGGCGGCGGCTGTCGTGCCCGTGGAGCGGCGAACACAGGCGAGGTGCCGTCGCGGGGCCGGGGCGTCTGCGCGTGGGACAGCGCCGCCCTGAGCCAGGGCTCCACGAGCAGCCCGAAGGCGCTCACTCCACTTCCGTCCACGTGGGCCGGGGGGGCGGCCGTCCTGCGATCGTGCAGCGGGGCGTCCGCCGATCCGCTCGGTGAGCGGGAGCTGCCCTCGGGGCTGGAGGGCGGCGCCAGCGTCGTGAAGGAGCCGCCCTCGATGTAGATGCCGAGGCGGTGCGTGTGCTGCGCATGCTGCAGCAGCGACCAGGCCGTGGGGAAACGCGCGCGGCACGAGCGGCACACGAAGGCACTCGGCTCTGGGGCTGCGCAGAAAGAGGGAGAAACAAACGAGAGCAATTAATTCCGTAATGCTTTCCAACACGCGTGTCAAATGAAGCCGCACGACGAGACGACTTCACACACAGCGGTGTCACAAGGAAGCGAGGCGCGCGGCATCTGAGGGCTCTCTTTTTTATCTACAAGTTCTTGGGGAACTATTTTATTGATTCGGCTGGTTTACAAAAGGTTAAGACCCTAATGGCAACAAAACAATAAAGAAAAATTTAATTTATACTGTGAACACCACCCACCCCCCATCCCCGGTTCCGGTTACAGACGCACAAATGGACAAAGCTGATGCATTTGTGCTTTCAACCTGAAGTTTGTAAGGGCAGGAAGTAGAAAGGGCGACATTTAAAAGGAAATTACACCAAAAAAACCATGAAAGTGTGGCGATTCAATTGTTCACAGAGAGCAATCCAGCTTCTCCTCATGCCAGACAACGACTCTGGGAAGATAACGACACAGGGATGTGTTGGCAATTTTCGGATGAATCTGAAATATTTAGAAAATGGGCCTAGATACCAAAATAATAAAAATAAAACATAATAAAACAATTCTCACGACGTTTCGGCTACAACGCAAGCAGCCGTCTTCAGGTATACTGATGGTGCGATGCAGTTTATACTTTAGTTTTTTATGTAGTTTATACTTTAGTTTTCTACGTGGTTGTTGAGTAACTGCAGCTACATATCATTAACATTCCTTTCCTTTGTTACTGCTAATCCCTGCACCCCCCTTGGTTGCTGCTGATCCTGCATAATGCATGGGCATAATATGACTTTGACACCCCCCCGCCCAACGCCTACGCATTTTCCATGAATATGCTAAATCCCTCTTCACATGCACATTCTTTTTGTTAAGGCGCTCTTCAACCCCCAATGCAGCTTATATATAAGCTCCTAGTTTGGTAGTGTCTCATTCTTCACCTGAAGACGGCTGCTTGCGTTGTAGCCGAAACGTCGTGAGAATTGTTTTATTATGTTTTATTTTTATTATTTTATTACTTCCCTTCTACGTGACTTTACCGAAAGAAACAAGAAGATGAATCCCTGCAGTCACGAAAGCTTTAAATCGAAATTTAACCGCCTCTACGGGGAGGGTTTCCACATAACTTTGAGATCCTTCAACAAGCTCCGGGATAAGAAGGCTCAGCTAATCGAGTCTCTCACCTTTCTGAAGAGATGCCGCGACTCTAAGGTAATACCAAACGCATTTACACTAACATCTGCTGCTGTAACTTCTTCTAATGCGAAACGAATTCTGTCTAGAACTAGCTTAGCTCTTATCTCAGAGAAAATCAGACTTACGCGCACCGAACTAGATCAGTTAGACAAGACACTCTACAAATCACACTTATCTTTGAGTGTAACAATGTCCACATCGGATTGGGAACATGTGGAAAAAATGACTGCCTCTTCAGCTGCCGCTATGTCGACTAAATGTAAGGACAACTTGATTTCCAAATTCAATCGCCTCTCAAACAAGAAACCGGACCCACACATTGAAAAGCTAGATATTAACAAAGTCGTAATTAATCGCAGTAACAGTCCTATTTCTGAAGGTTTGAAATCCGTTTTAGCTAAAGGACTAAACTTTGCAGTCACACCTAGACACATACCAGTTAATGATATAATTGCTCGAGTAGATGTAGCTCTCAAGGGCTTGAGTCACATCGCTGCAGACGTAGCAAGATCCGAAATCTCTGTAACCCTCAAAAACGCTAAGATGCCAGCTAGCAACATCAGCAAAGAGGAGCGTTTTGAATTAGCTCAATTAAAAAAGAGGGATGACATTGTCATCCTCTCAGCCGACAAAGGCAATGCCACTGTCATCATGGACAAAATAGAATACAACAACAAAATTCAAGAACTACTAAACGATGGCAGCTATACAAAAATAAAAAGAGACCCCACCAACAGCCTCGTCTCCAAAACCAACAACATCATTTCTGCTTCAACCGCATTAATTGATCAGACCAAACAGTTCTCGTTGAAACCTTCTGCAGCCAGACCACCAAGATTGTACGGCTTGCCAAAGATACATAAAGAAGATACACCTCTTCGTCCCATTGTCTCTACTATCAACTCCCCCACTTACAAACTGGCTCGTTTTTTGTCCGAAATCCTACGGCCTTTCACTGGAAAAACCACCTCTGCAGTACTAAACTCTACTGACCTGGTATCGACAATCAAGGGGATTGCCCTGTCCCCAGACGACCTGCTTGTCAGTTTTGATGTGGTTTCCTTGTTCACCAAGGTACCTGTGCCTGACACCATCGCAATCATTGAAGACTTGGTTCATCAAGGACTGAATGCTGGGGTACCCCCCCTGGTGAGACACTGCTTAACCAATACATACTTCACCTGGAATGGAACCTTCTACAAGCAAATTGAGGGCACCCCAATGGGCTCCCCCCTATCTCCGGTTGTAGCCAACATCTTCATGGAGAAATTTGAGACGGACGCCATCCAGACTGCCACTCTACGCCCGACCTTATGGAAGAGGTACGTAGACGACACTTTTGTCATCTGGCCACATGGCCGGCCTGCTCTAGACCAATTTCTCGACCACATCAATTCCATACACCCAGCCATCAGATTCACCATGGAAGTCGAAAATGATGGCAAGCTACCCTTTTTGGATGTCCTAATCAAAAGGAGACTTGATGGTTCAATGAGCCACTCTGTCTACAGGAAAGCCACCCACACGGATGCTTATCTAAAACCGGATTCCCACCACCATCCATCTCAGAAGAATTCCCTCATCAAGACTCTATATCATAGAGCCCAATGCATCTCCGACCATGAACACATTTCCAGTGAACTCAAACACGTACGCCAAGCTCTTAAGGCAAATGGTTACTCCGACTATACAATCCGCAAAGCCATCACTCCAACCATCAAGAAGGATCCTGTTGAGGAGCCTTTCAAGACCATCACCTTACCCTACATTGCTGGGGTCACAAAAAAGATCTCCAAAATCCTGATTAAACACAAGATCCTGGTCCGATTCAACACAGTACATAAAATCCGTGATCTGGTACCGTCTGTAAAAGATGTGGTTCCAGACATACAGTACCCTGGCGTCTACAAACTAAGTTGCCTCTGTGGTAGCAGTTACATTGGGGAAACCAAACGACATGTCTCGGACCGCATCCGTGAACATAAAGCTGACCTGAAACACGGTAGGACTAACACCTCAGCCGTGGCAGATCACTGTTACAACTCAGTGGGCTCACATGATATTGACTTCTCCAAGACAGAGGTTCTCTGCAAGCCATCTGGCTATCATGAGAGATTCGTTCATGAGGCGATCCACATATACAAACACAGAGACAACTTTAACCGAGAAGATGGATTCTGGCTCAGCAATCATTGGAAGGACGTAATAAACCATTTCGATACACATTAGGGTGTGTAGAATAATACATAGTGTGATATTAAATGTATAAGATATAGGTTGGTTTACAGCAATACAGTATATAATTTAATGTTGGGTTTATCTATGGCAGTATATAGTACGGTATATGCTCGTGTGATGTAAGAGAATAAGGTTTAGATGGAAGCATATTATAGAATTTTTACGAGGTAAAATTGTAATGTATTACTTGCTGTTAGTAACTCAGCTTATTATAGAGTATAGTAAGTATACTGATGGTGCGATGCAGTTTATACTTTAGTTTTTTATGTAGTTTATACTTTAGTTTTCTACGTGGTTGTTGAGTAACTGCAGCTACATATCATTAACATTCCTTTCCTTTGTTACTGCTAATCCCTGCACCCCCCTTGGTTGCTGCTGATCCTGCATAATGCATGGGCATAATATGACTTTGACACCCCCCCGCCCAACGCCTACGCATTTTCCATGAATATGCTAAATCCCTCTTCACATGCACATTCTTTTTGTTAAGGCGCTCTTCAACCCCCAATGCAGCTTATATATAAGCTCCTAGTTTGGTAGTGTCTCATTCTTCACCTGAAGACGGCTGCTTGCGTTGTAGCCGAAACGTCGTGAGAATTGTTTTATTATGTTTTATTTTTATTATTTTATTACTTCCCTTCTACGTGACTTTACCGAAAGAAACAAGAAGATGAATCCCTGCAGTCACGAAAGCTTTAAATCGAAATTTAACCGCCTCTACGGGGAGGGTTTCCACATAACTTTGAGATCCTTCAACAAGCTCCGGGATAAGAAGGCTCAGCTAATCGAGTCTCTCACCTTTCTGAAGAGATGCCGCGACTCTAAGGTAATACCAAACGCATTTACACTAACATCTGCTGCTGTAACTTCTTCTAATGCGAAACGAATTCTGTCTAGAACTAGCTTAGCTCTTATCTCAGAGAAAATCAGACTTACGCGCACCGAACTAGATCAGTTAGACAAGACACTCTACAAATCACACTTATCTTTGAGTGTAACAATGTCCACATCGGATTGGGAACATGTGGAAAAAATGACTGCCTCTTCAGCTGCCGCTATGTCGACTAAATGTAAGGACAACTTGATTTCCAAATTCAATCGCCTCTCAAACAAGAAACCGGACCCACACATTGAAAAGCTAGATATTAACAAAGTCGTAATTAATCGCAGTAACAGTCCTATTTCTGAAGGTTTGAAATCCGTTTTAGCTAAAGGACTAAACTTTGCAGTCACACCTAGACACATACCAGTTAATGATATAATTGCTCGAGTAGATGTAGCTCTCAAGGGCTTGAGTCACATCGCTGCAGACGTAGCAAGATCCGAAATCTCTGTAACCCTCAAAAACGCTAAGATGCCAGCTAGCAACATCAGCAAAGAGGAGCGTTTTGAATTAGCTCAATTAAAAAAGAGGGATGACATTGTCATCCTCTCAGCCGACAAAGGCAATGCCACTGTCATCATGGACAAAATAGAATACAACAACAAAATTCAAGAACTACTAAACGATGGCAGCTATACAAAAATAAAAAGAGACCCCACCAACAGCCTCGTCTCCAAA